GTTGTCAGTGTTGAAGATGGCCAAGTGGTTAAGGCAGTGGTTTTCAAGGCAGCAGGATGCTACAGCAGATTAGGGTGATGCAACAACACTTCAGAGGTACTGTACTGTGAAACTATGTACTGTACTGTGAAAATATGTTAGTTTGATTAAAGATGAAGTTGGTGGAAAAGTACACAAGGTAATTTGTGTGTCTCTAGTTATTATCAAGTTCCAGCTTATACCAGTATCTAACTGATAAACAGCTAAAGATTAATCATATTTCATCTTTAATCAATGTCTTTATATTCTATAAATATGATTTTGATAAGAGTTTTTTCCCTCATTTTTTAACCTTACTATTCTGTAGAATAAAAAGGGATAAGATTTATATTTTCTAACAATACTCTTATTCACTATTTGTAATTAAAATATAACAATAATAAAGAATATGTTATTACTTTTATAATAAAAAATATTTCTTATTTTTTTGAAAATAATATATCTTATGAATATTTGATAAAAATATTTAACTAAAATTAGATATTTAAAGTATTTGGTTATGTTGATTATTTTTAACACAAATTATAATGAAAATAAAATTCACTAGCCTTAAGTAGACATTGCACAGACATAGGTTTTCAGTTTACTGTACTTCTAAGACCTTCTTCAGGCAGATTCTTTCAAAATAAAGATAGATTCTTTGACAAAATCTATTTGAAGAAGGCCTTAGAAGTAGACTGAGAACATTAGTAATGGATCTCTCACTTATGTGCAAGCCCTACTTAAGGTTGGTAAATTTTATTTTGATTTCTGCCTTGTTATTAGATTAATTTAACACAAATTATTTTCACAAGCCATGTTCAATAATAATTACATAAAGAACACAAAGATATAGTTAATTAATATACTGGAACTTTTTTGTAATTAATATACTGGAACTAGATTTGTAATATCATTTTTCACATTCAATAGACATTGATATGCATTTTTCACATTCAATAGACATTGATATGCACAAAAAAACACCTTCCTTAATTACTCCAGTAATATTTATTCTGAATTATGAATATTAACATTTTCAGATGCATTTAGAGACTTTCTTCAAGTAAAAAACCATTCCATCAATCAAACATTCGAAAACAGAGAAATGTTCTAAACATTACGATATTATTTCATCAAATTCAAAATATGTTTAGAATATTTCTTCATTTTTGAATTTTTGATTAATGGACAGCTTTTAACTTGAAGAAGGATTCTAAATGCGACTGAAAATGTTTGTAATTCAGAATAAACATTGTTGGAATAGGTAAGGTAGATGTTTTTTGTGTGTATCAGTGTCTGCAAAAGTAAGAAGTGAAACTATATTAAGGTTGCTTATTAGTGCAATAGAAAAATAAATATCTCAAATATTCTAGGCTATATCAATATAGAAATATATCTACTGTACTATACTTGTATATAAAGTACTTTGCTTAGAACTGTAATGATACTTTCCATCACAACAACACCAATACAATAAAAAATGATGGCACCAAGAATTGATGAATCATCACAAAATTTTTGTTATGAATAGTCTATATTGGGAATAAGGGACAAAGCCTGCAAGACAAGCAAGCAGAAGCTTAGAATGCCTATAGCAATCAGAAAAAAAAATAGAAACAGTGGCATAAAAATCAATAAATCATAATGCAATTTTTTAACAAATGGATGAAGTCCCCTAGTAATGTTATAAATCAATTAATAATTATAAACTTTTTTTTATTTTAAATTGCTTCTTGTCTATTTTTTTTAACTGTAATAAATATTAGATTTTCCAAATGCAAACATCATATAGACTTATTTAAACCTGAGACAGAACAATCACCAGCAAAATTCTATTTATTTTTCTTTATTCTCTAAAATGCATTTCAGTCCTCAAGCCATTTAAGTCCCTCTTCAGTTGGAATATAATTTACTTGTACAAAAATTTTAAGATCTTATTTATCATTTATAAACATTTTATGTTAATATTCTTATTTATAACAGAATACACAAAAAAGAAACACTTCATTATAATAAATATAGATATATACTTTATAAATTTTTGTAATTATGCAATTTTGTAATTGTTAACAGCAAAAATTTTATTTGTAAAAAAAAACAATTAAATCATTACATTCACTGCTATATATAAGTATAAAATGAATGTAAAAATGATCAGTTCTCAATTATAGTATCAAGTTACCCTCTTCACAATAGCCAGATGAATATGAGCAATTTAGATTTGTAATATCATTTTTCACATTATTTGATAATGTTTACAGCTTCCGTAAAATAAGCATTAAAATAAAATATATCTTTATATAGAACATTCAAACTTCCAATAAATATTTTGTTTTGTAGCATTTTTAAAAAATGCAATTATGTAAGCTTGTTTTGCAGGTCTGTGTTTTGCAAGTGTCTGAATAGTTTTTTTTTCAGATTAATTTTCAGTTTTAAAAGCTAAAACTGAAATCAATCATTTGAAATTTAATTTCTAATTCAAAGGATACGTTATTTTCAGAATTATGAGATTCTTAAGACGTAGTACTTTCAAAAAATATTAATCACAAAAAGCCTAAGACAATTTCTTTGTAGATTAATTTAAGAATCAAAAGTTGGTTGTTTTTAGTTAGTAACAGCTCAACAATTAATACACTGATTTTTAAAAGATATTCTTTCCTTAATGTCATTTTTAAATTAAAAATCGAAAATAAGTATGATTCTAATCAAATTTATGAAAATGACATTAAGGAACATGACATTAGATTTTAAATTATTATTAATAATTTTATTAATAATAAATCACTTATTTTAAATCACTGAATGATTTAAAATAATTCATTTTATGGTAAAATTGCATTTAAAATAATGTTCAATGATTTAACTGTAATATTTTATTACATTACTATATTTTCAACCCTTCTTCCAAGTCTTATTAAAAAACAGTTTCTAAATAAACAACTGCTAAATTAAACAATCATTTAAATTCATATCATTTAGGAATATATAAAAAGACACCAAAACCAGTTATAAAAGTCCGATATAGTTACTAAAACAGTTTTGTCCATTTCAAACTGATATCAGATTATATAAGCTTAATGCTTAACTTAACATCAAAGTTCACTACAACATTATAAAAGTCCAATATATTTACTAAAACTTTAGTAAATATATTTAACTTTTACAAGTGATTTTGGTGTTTTTTATGTGCTCCTATCTAAGAACTATTAGTTTTAATAAAGTTATTAAAGCCTTTTTTATTTTGTGCATACAATTTATTTTGTGAAATTAGCTGATGTACCTAGCAATGCTCAGGTATTCTTACAAAAACATTATGCAGTTTGAAAACTATATATGCTTTTGTTAGGTGGGGACTATAGATTGAATGTATATACTCCCCATCTAACAAAAGCATATGTAGTGTTTTCATTGCATTTCTTTTGATTCTCTCTTAATAAAATAAATTTTGTTCTCTATACATATCTTTGCATAGATTTGTTCAATCATATTTTACAGATATTTACAAGTTAAAAAATTTCTCTCAAGTATTTCTTGACAGAACAATCTGTAACAAAAGAATTTGAAGTGATATATTTCAAGAGACAATAATTATTTTTCAAAAAACATTGAAAGCAGGTGGAAAATAATAATAAGATTTTTCAAATACTTTTAAAATATTTATGCACCACTTTATTACTTAAGAAGCAATAAAGTAAATTACAAGTATTCAAGTGAAGAGATTAAATGATATTGACACTACAATTTATTTTAGCCAATTACATGTTTAGATCATGAGTTCTTAATAATTAAATTGTTTTATTAGTTTACTACTTTCAAAATGAAAGTAACTGAATGTGAAATTAAATGTGTTGTGTCAGACTGGTTTCTAGGCAGTGGGACTTAATAGATTTATTTGTTAAAATAAAATTTTATGGTCATTTGAAAGAAATATGTGAATTTTCACAAATTTTTCTATAAAGTATTATGGAACAAATTTATAAGAAAGTATAAAAATAATAAGAAAGATAAATTTTCTAAAAAAGTTAGAAGGAAAGAAGACAAAATTCAAAGACACTGCAAATCTGAACACAAATATGTTTACAAAGGCCTCACACAGTCACACAGATACAACACAGTCACAAACAAAATTTCCCTTTTATTTATAAGATTTGTTAACTGAATTCAAAAATGGCTGGAAAAAAAATTGAAAACATAGATTTTAGTTTTATTTTAAATACTGTTGTCACATGATCATACCATCACAAATGCAATTGAGCATGTGTAAAAAATATGTTAATGACATAACTACAGATTCATTCTTTAGCAAATGAATAAACTAGTTATACACAAATTAAGTTTAATGTCATGTCTATCAGATATTTTGGTTTCTATTAGAAAAAAAAATAATCCTCCAATTAAAATTTAGTTTTGACAGTGATTTTATGGCTTCAGACCTAACATACATTTATTTAATTTTTGTAATAATTTGAAGTNCGATAATCGGTTAACGAACAATTCGGATAGCGAACAAAGTCTTGGAACAGATTATGTTCGTTAACCGATCACTCACTGTATATGCAGTGAGCAGCTAACTTGCACATTATTGTTTTAATAATGTTTCTATATTTTACATTAATTAAAAACCTTTATTAAAAGATTAAAAATAGCAGCATTAAATATATAAATATAATTAATATTTACTATACAAAATAAATTGCTTTCTATTCGTATTTTATACTCTTTACATGATAAATATTGGATTTAATTTATTTTAAAATTTTTTGTTATGAAACATGATTTTAAATAATAAAAATAACAACAACAAGAATTCATAAAGTTTATTTTTATGAAATTTTGTAAAAATTTCATAAAAATAAATTTTGAAGAGAGGAAAAAAAAAATATTAAAATGACAGAATGTTACATTAATAAATATTTTATAAAGAATAGACACAAAAAATATTTTTAATTTAACTTGTCACATTTTAAAATTTATCTTATGTTTTCATACCTGTCTGGCCATAAGCAAAAATGCAGGCATTATAACCTTGGAAGGCATTATCTAAGATATCAGCACCCAAACTCTTATACACGTCTTCTTGGCTTGCATAATGATCATCATTTTCATTAAAGGACCAGAAACAATGATCAAAAGCAAATGTCTACATAAAAATATTTAAATAATGTTTATTTTTGAATTATATATTTAATAAATAATAGGAAAAAAAGCTAAACTCTTACCTTTGGTTGCTTTCTGCTGCTTGAGCATTATAAAAAAATAAGAAAATAATTTAGAATAATAATCATAATAATTAATGAATGATTAAATGTAGATAAAAATAATCAATTAAATTGTTTGTGAAAAAACTAATTAAACAATGAGAAATTCAGTATTAAAAGAAAAAAATAGGTAAAATAATAATTTAACAGAATTTAAAACTAGTTTTATATGCAACACTTAATATCTGAATGAAAAATAGTATAACAACAATTTAACAGGAGTATATTTCAAAGCAATGATTATTTTAATACATAGTATTTTGTTTTTCCTTTTTCCTTACTACTATCTAAGACAATAAATTATTGATAATCTTTATACAGCTAAAATTTCTTCTCTCTTCTGACAATATATCTTTACTTTGATTTCCGATACACTCGATGTCAGTACATTTCATATAGTTCTATTAAACTTGTCTCTTCAATATATTCTTCTAACATTTATATGTAAAACAGTCAATTTTTTAATAAATTTTATACTTAACAGTCATAATTCATTCGACAATTATGCTGAATGAATTATTTAAAAAAAGTAGATAAAATAATTTATTTTCAACGAAAAAATCATTTTCAAATAAAATTAATTTTATATTTGAAATAATATTGAAATGTATTATTCATTGAGTGTTTAATTCTTTCTTGACTAAGACCATAACCAATTATCAGAGCATTTCATTTGTATCTTACTTTCATACTGAAAGTAAGATACAAATTACATTTTCCTGAGGATGCAAAATATAAAAAAATGTAATAATTTACAATTTGAAATTGAACATAAATTAACTTATCTTTATACTTCAAAACAAAAATATAAGATATCAACAATGTTTTATAGGAAGAATTTATAAGCTGTTAATAAAACTTTACAGTTTTATTACAACATATGTTTTTATCCTCAACTCAAGACTTTCCTTCAAAACTTATATATATTTTACTTATTACTGATAACAGAATTTATATTTTTGAAAATGAGTTTTATTACAATGTCATAGTTTTCTATGGATTAAACTTTAATAGTTTGTTTTTCTAATAAAAAGTTGGCATTACAGATGTTAATAAAATGTATTTCAGTACTTTACACAATTTAAAAAATATGGAAATATTTAAATTACATCATTATATATTTATATTCTTATACACACATTATATATTTAAATTTTTCAATATAAAAGTTTCAGTGGCAGGATTATAAAATCCATATAGAATATAGAAAAAAAATCTAATACTGTTAACATAAAAAGATTCATGTTAAAAGTTATTTTTTTAATATCTGGTAATGTTAACTTGTGACAAGTTATGTTATGTTACGTTGGATGAAATATATACTAAATATGATTTTTTTATTTGATATTTATGTTTTTAATTACACATTTTTTGATAAAAATAATTTTAAATAAGAAGGTAATAATTGACAGAAATAATTTTATTATAATCTATTTCTATAATTTTCTTATCCTTGTATGTAGGTAAATTATATATTTTCTTGTAATATTTGCTCTATTTAAATTTTCAACAGATTATAACTATAATTACAGCTTCATTTATCATGAAATCCTGTTGTAAATAAATAGTATAGATAATAAAACTATTAGTAATATGATAATTATATGTTGTGATACATTTTATAAAATATATATCTTAAAGGAAAAAAAGCTTGTGATAAATAACTATAGGCATATTAGGTTAATGCAAATCATTTCTATATAAAGCAAAATGTAAATATTTGAACTGGTTCACAATACTCTATTTATACTTTTAACAGGATTTAAATAAATTCCTGATAAATCAATATGCAGCTGGACCATTAATGTTTTGTCAACATAAAATATTTTATTATAAAATTTATTTAAGTCAATATTCAATAAAATAAAGTCTGAAATTTATAAATTGCTAATGGTCACTAATATAATTCTACAGTTTCATATATATATTAAAAAAGATAAATGTATAATTCATTAGTAAATAACCACTAATAGATCTCTCATGAGAATTTTATTTTTAGAAAAACTACTTAATGCTATTACATACAAAATCTAATCAGCAATATTTTATTTTTAGTAAGTTTTATAAAGCAAAGAGATTATTCTTAAGAAATACATTAGTATTACTTTTTGTTAATGTATATTTAAATATTCAATAAGTAAATATTTATATACGTATATAACAAACATAATACTAACCCTTTGGGATCAAGCAAATCGTGAACCTTCTCATTATATATTTCCATATAGGAAACTTCAACTTTATGTGNGATTTTCATTAATAAGTTGGTCAAAGAATAATAAGTAATACAAATCTTATATTCATGACAATTAAATGCTAGATTATATAATTTTTTTATTAAATTAATAAATATAGTTTTATTTATTCAATGTGTTCTACTCGTAAGAAGCAGATTTTGTTGACTGTTACAGTCCTTATCTTACTGTCCAATTTCTATTCTGCTTAAATCTGTTATTTTATTCTCTATCTCCTTTGCCTTTTAAATATCTCCATTAACACTATCTCTGTACTCCTATCTTCCTTCTTAAAGCACTATACCAATATATGAGATTCATGATCAATAAAAGCAAGTCTTTGTGTAACTATAGATTTCACTATTAAATTATATTCTCCTTTCCATTTATCTGCTTTTTCCTTTGCATGGACTATAAATTTTTCATAGTGTAGTTGTTATTGGCACCCCTCTCAAATTTCTCTTTATTAGCCAGAGAGCAACTGGCAGCAGAGGATTTGTGCAACCACTGTGACTGCAGCTGTCTCACTACTGCCAATGGTTCTACCAATTTAATATGAAGAGAAATTAGAGATGATGCCAATTCTAATATGGTTAATCTTGTTTTCTTCTTGCATGTCTGTTGCTTATCTTTCACAATAATTCTTATTTCAATTTGTCAACATTACTGAGTTAGGTTACTAAAATGTTTGTTAAGAAGTTTTAAGTTTCAAAATTATTTTTAAAAATATTTTTAATCCCTACTACATTCATTTGAAAACATTAATGAAAGCTTTGTATTTCAATTCTTTATTTTATAAATATATTAATTCAATCAAAAGTATATTTAGATAAAAGATTTGTAAACAATACTATTTGCTCTAGGATATTATCTAGAACATTGTGTCTCAGTTAATCATAATGTCATAATATATCCTAGGATTTCCAAATAATCTCATCTAACATTATATCCAGAAATCAGGATTTGCTTTGTCATAGAATGTACTACAGTATATAATTTACATAAAATCAAACTGAGAATTGTGCAAATATATCAAATAAATATCTTAGTATTAAGATGNAGAAATTGTTCTCTATTTGTTAATACCAATTTGTATTGTATTAACAAATTTATTGTAATATTAATAAATAATTGATTGATTGATTGATTGATAATTCTTCTCTAAAATAACACATATGTGTTTTTTATATTTAAATATGAACTTCATTCATGAACATCATTCAATAAATTGGCAATTAAAAAACATATTTTTATTTTATTCACTATATAACATTTCATGTTTTGGATACCAATAATGGCCCTTCTCAGTCTCATCTTTTCAAATTTTTTTAAACTTTTTCCATCCTGTGGATTTAAATTAAGGATCTTTTGAAATTCTATTGTGAGTTCTATGCCCACATTGGTGTGGTAGACCTTTTGTTACCAGCAAAGCTCACTTGAAGCACTATAACTACTGAACACTATAATTGAAAATGTCTGTTATTGGTGTATTGCAATACTCAGCATTCATTGTAAATACTGACTGTTGTTTTGGACTATAAATGTAACATGCCATTGATTCTAAGGCAGACTTCTATTTTGGAAAGTAGATTTTAAAAAAAGTCCATTTTAGAATTGAGGAAATGTGATCTTTATTTGTTCAATTTGTTTATATAAAATTATTCTTAAGAAATATTATTATTATTCTGATTATAAATTTTTTAAATTATTAAAAGTTGACACAATAAAAAATACTATTATGAAAAAAACATTTCAAACAATGTAAACACTAAAAAACATTGATTGTTCTCTCACGATATTTACATTTTTCACCAGATGCTCACTCACTCATCCTCTAATGTTTAAAAACAAAACTATTTTATCTGGGTTGTTTGAATCATTTTTGTATATTGTCAGCAGTAAAAATGAATAGCAATAGGAAAAGCAAAGCTTTCTGTGGTGTTCAAAATTGCAATTCCAAAGACATATCGGATCCCAATATAAGTTTTCATCTATTCCCGAATGAAAAACATATAATTAGTCAAAAATCGGAATTTGGAGAAGCTCATAAGTGTAACTGGTGGAGAGTGGATTTGACTGTTAAGAATTGGCAAAAAGTTTTCTGACTGTCCAGCTTTATATGAACAAGTTATGCTGTCAATTTTATAAGGTTTTTCCTTAACTTTTAAAATGCCAGTAATTTTGTGTGGGACAGATGTCAAAAATGATGTTTGAATACAGAGCACAAATATGTATAGAAAAATCTCACTCATTTGTTTTGATAATACTACATAAAATGACCTGACCCACTAACAATAATTGTTCTATAAAATTTCTTGAAAAACAACTACAAACAGCATAAGTCATTACATTGGACATTAATATATGATTAATTTTACATTGACTAGTTACAAACGATCCAGATATAGTGGCCATTTTGTAAAAGTGCAGTACCCTCTATAGTTCACGATAAACACAAACATAATAAGATTGAAAATATTTTTAATATATGTCCTTATCAATACAGAATTTCACATAATTATAATTTTTGAATATTGTATAAAAGATGAAACCAAATATGTAAAATCAACTTTAAATTTTTAAAATGCTATTATATATATTTCATATATAAACAATATTATATACTTTATAGAAATACTTACTTAAACTTCTCATATATATTTGAATTTATATCATTAATCTATTTATATACTAAATGTGTTATTAACACAAATTAATCACACTAATCTTAATATTAACTATAATCAAAATTCTTAGATCTTTAGTCTGCTTGAAAATGATTAAAGGATAGCTATAAAATCTGTCTACAGCATAAATGCAATGGATTAAAATTACCACATATTAAATTTAATTTGTATTGATAGAAAATTAAATTCTCATAGAAGGATAGACAAATTGATAAAAATTTAACAAACAGTTATAAGAATAGAGTAATGAATGATTGGACAAGCATCTATTATACGTATATAACAAACATAATACTAACCCTTTGGGATCAAGCAAATCGTGAACCTTCTCATTATATATTTCCATATAGGAAACTTCAACTTTANAGCTAAAGATTAATCATATTTCATCTTTAATCAATGTCTTTATATTCTATAAATATGATTTTGATAAGAGTTTTTTCCCTCATTTTTTAACCTTACTATTCTGTAGAATAAAAAGGGATAAGATTTATATTTTCTAACAATACTCTTATTCACTATTTGTAATTAAAATATAACAATAATAAAGAATATGTTATTACTTTTATAATAAAAAATATATATATTAATAATCTGTGTCTCTCTAACAAGATTACAAATTTTCGAATTCATTTGCAAATATTTCAATTTTGCCAATTCTTTTCATTGTTTTAGGAAATACTGTATGTTTGATGGTAATTACACGTAGGTACATTCAAACACTATTTATATAGGCTACCAATTTATTTTGTATAGTCCTGTATACAGTGGGTAATCGGTTAACGAACAGATCAGTTAACGAACAAATCGGATAACGAACACTTTCGAGAAAGATTTTTATGTTCGGATAATGAACACCTCACAGAATAAACACAAGAAGAAGCTATGTAAAATAATGAATACCGATTGATTTTCTCTTGTCTTCAGGTAACAATTCGAAACATTTCGGAGTGCGGGAGGCGTCGACATCGACGCTTAAACCGGTTTATACCGATCGGATAGTATTCCTCCAAACTTTGAAACTCTCCCTTGTAATTCCAGCCTCTTATTTTTCTTACAAAACAATTCTTTTATGTATTCACGAGACTGTCGGGTAGGCACTCGTTAAGTTTTGTGTCTGTTTTTCTTTTCGAAAGGTGAGAGTATAATAACAAAGATAGAGAGTGGGCAGAAGATGCCTAATGTTGCTAGGCAGTATGGCGCGAACAGGTGTACAGTAGGCCGAAATTCAATCTTACTGTATTTAAGAAAAATACAGTATAATCAAGAAAACTCAAGCAGCTAAAGGAGTAACAAAGATCACATCTGAGATATTAATTTAATTACTTACGAAAAATCCT